TCGCTGCACGTCGGCTTCTTGTTTCCAAAATTTTAAAATTCAATAAAGATTTGTAAATGTCAAATATTTTATTGATTTGCACCTTCGTTTCTTAATTTATAGCAGATTTACTAAGTGCAGAGTCTGCCATATAAAGACATTTGGGTTTACTGAACGGCAATACCTAAATATCAGACTCCATTGATTTATTGATTATTATAATCGTTAAAAACATGGCTTTTGGTTAGACTAAGTTAGTTATGAGTTGAATTAATTACCTATGTTTGATGGTAAAAAAATACATTCTATGTACCTTAATCTGCTTATTGTTTCAACGAGATTCTAGTTATTCTTCGATAACTTGGGAAAAAAACAATGTTCTTTATAACAATAATACTACAACGTCTCTCGTCCCGTAGTGGACTAAAAGTCTAATAATATTTTTCTAAGTTTATTGTATTAAATGTCACTTTTAATTAATACAAAGTCGATAGTAATTGAAATAAAATGAACACCAATAAAAATTGTGCAAATATGTCCACGACAATTCAACTGTTGTACACAATTGTTGAGCGAAACACTGATACTAAAATACTGTACATGATTATAAAACTGAGTCAATATTTGCTTTTTGGGTAATTGCCTCTTTAGTTTATTACAGAGGTGTTTAGTAAGTAAACACTTACTCTAACGATCTAATTATATTACGATTGTATGGACAGTTTATGTTTTCATGTACGATACAAATTAGTGGTCAATATCGTATTAATATATCGGCAGTAATTAACTATACAATAAATAATTCTAGCATGCGGCAACCTGCCAAAACAAAATATATTATAAATGATATAAAGGAAAAATCGTTTTACCTGCGACCGTTTTTTTAAAGTAGCCATTTCAGTTCAGTTCTTAGAATTGAAAAGTTTCACTTGACAGCTGTTTACTTTCATATTAGCATAGTTTCATTTCATATCAGCATAGTTTCATTTCATATCAGCATAGTTTTTCTCATATCAACACAGGTAACGGACCATAGAGGTTCAAGTATTGAGAGAAAAGAATTAAAATTGTAATGCTTCGAACGTCAACTAATCAGCAGATCAGCTGATCAGTTGACAATTTTAATTGTTGATCTTACTTGTTCCTGTTGATACTCGCGTATTCTTAACCTAAGTTGGTGGAAGTATACTAGGAAGGTAGACTAAACTGTTTTAAAAATGTCATATAGTGAAAGTGAAGTTGACGAGATGGAAATGAGAGCACAAACTGCTTATAATATTCTATAATATTCGATGCTGAGATCTAACTCTTTCACTATAATCATTCAGCTGTCCAAAAAAAAATTAAATGTAATATTTCCCTAATTGTACCTGATACAGTATTTATGGTAAGAGTACTGCTAGCAGAACCTATTGCCTGAAAAAGGTAACTTATTATTTAACGAAGTTTTACAAACACGTGATTACATGAAATCAGCTGATTATACAATAAGTCGTTGCATCACTTTCAGTTGCACTGACAATAAACGAAAACATAACCTCTCTAAAAAGTTATCAGTAGTGATTGTTAGTAATTAAATCCAGATTGATAGTAATTAAAAAACGGTGGTAGGTAAAGTAGTGTACGCAACTCGCGTTAATAGTCTTTACGACACTCGTAGAAGTTTTTAATGCACTCACCAAAGCTCGTGCCTTAAATTTTCTACTCGCGTCGTAAAGACTCACTTAACGCAATCGTTGCGTAAACTACTATTACCTAACAGCCTTATTTTACTCTGTTACCAATTAGTTTTTTTTTCAATTAATATTTTAGTTAATGAAAGAATATTTAGTTGATGTATCAAATTAAAAAACAGACGGATAAGTAGAACATACCTACTGTTAAAACCAAAATGTGTTCAACATGTTTATGGCCCCTGGACTTAAGACGGAAACAAATGTTACTATTTATCCGTCAAATAATCCAACATTTTGTAATCTCGCAGCTTCGACTACACATAATTAACTTGTGCATGTTTGTGTACGCTGTGAAAGTGTTGACAAAATATATGTTTAGGACAGTTGCTTTCGCAATACACCTCGTAAACTGAATCTACTGCATTGTTAGACTAGAAGTAAACCCTGTTTAGGTCAAATAATATTACCATGTTTGAACTATTAAAATTACATTATATGATAAGCAAGTTACCTAAAATATGGAACGGTTTGTGAATACAAATAAGTATACAATCAAACGATTAAAATTTATAAAAAACCAAAAGAATACGAATTTAAGGTTTCTGAAAATCCTGTTCCCCTGTGGAAGTTGTTTTGTTGGTTTGGCTGGATTGAGGGATAGGAATGTTAAAGGTAATATACACATTGCTAAAGCTACACTTTTATGATAAATGAACCTTTTATGATAAATGATTGAATGAGTTAAATGAACAACAAGAAAAAATTTGGTTTAGGTATACAGTAGATGTTTTTTTATTGACACAAAATCAAATTGTTTTATAAAAGAGTATAAGAGAAACACAAATGTATTGCATTAGCTATTATCAGGTTATCGGGTAGGTTTTTATTGTTTGTTGTAATAAATATAATACAAAATTACACTACAAAATTAATTATTCATATTAAATCTTGCAATTTAAAAAAGAGTCCGATATAAAAGTGATCTTTATAGAAGGATCTTATAGAATGTAATTTATACTAGTTTTAGCGAATTTCCCATATAATAAGCTATAACCGTAGGTCTCATGGTAAGACCTAGACCCGGGACCGATTTACTTTTTCGTTTTGAGGTCCCCAGAGGCCAAAGACACCATCCGTTCAAATTCACATATATTATAAATAATAATAATAATAAATCATAAATTTATATTACTAAGTAAATCATAGTAGCCCTCATTGATGTATACAATAACAATATATATATATATATATATATATATATATATATATTTATTTATTTATTTATGTGTCCATTAGCGCGATAACTCGAGCAAAAATGATCCGATTTTGATGAAATTTGGTACAAACGTGTAAACCTACGTTTATTCGAACGAGTTCGCGAACCAGCATAATCGGACCATGAGAATAGCGGTTTATGGCGGTTTTATGGGGTAAAAATGGGTTTTTCCCATGTTTTAACCTAAAAACAAAAAATTTTGTATTTTCTTTCTCAACCATTTTGTAGAGCTTAAAAAAAATAAATAATTTAGTATATTGAAGCACTGTTGTATGCCTAACAGTCACAGAGAAAATTCAAAAAAAGTGCAATTTAAAATTCCCATGTTATTCTTATGGAGAAAATTAAAACTGTTGTAATTTACTTGTTTATGGATATAATGTTGATAAAATTTGGTAAATTTATTTATTTCATCCAATACTAATGACATATTGTCAAAAACACTTTTAACCTTCCCCGTAGCAGCAAACCTAAGCACTCGTTAAATCTAATGTTATTTTAATTGGAAATATATAACTGATGTTTTATTTATGGAAATATTTTGGTAAAAATGTAATCAGACAAGTTGAAATTCGCTTAGTCTGCAGGTTTTCTGCGGCGGGGGTATTTATAATTCAAGTAAAGTGAGTAAACACATCTGAGCCAATATAGATTTTTTTAGAGGTCGAAGAGAAAATCTCTGCAAACTCAGGTGATGCTTTGCAAGTGCAGTTGTTGGATGTTGGCAACGTCATACCGGTTGAGAGATCAAGGCACTAATGCCTGACATAGTCATTAAAGCTGGCTCAGTAATGAGAACTCTTATACGCCCTTGTGCAAGGGAAGTTGGTTTTCGAACATCTTTATATAAACATTTATAATCTAACACAAGGAATTGACGTTTGAAAAATCCAACGTTAGTTTCTTTTTGATTTTTTAAACAGAGCGCGAGTAGAATTTTGGTAATCTCTGAAAGTATGATATTTTAGATATATCTTTTTAAATTAAAAATTTAGCAATTAATGATTAGATTAGTTTAAGAACAATGATGATAAAAACATAAAAATGTTATTCAGTGGCAAATAATATTATGGACGTTTCTTTTTGCGACCAGCCAATAAACAGTTTAGCATATTCCCTCCAAGTTTTGCCAAGGGTTTACCCAGTTTAACACTTCAACAATTCGACGTAGGCTAATACTTAATAGAAATTAAAATCATGCATTTTAAAACTGATTGCTACAAATGTGTAAATAAGTTTGACTTTGGTTTTAATTAAATGTCGTTAATGTCAATCGAGTTCATCTATTCATCTATTAAACTATCTATTAAACTATTATCTATTAAAGGCCCGATGTGTAACTAACTCACAGACTGACTGATCAGGTATACGAATGTTTACCCACTTCTAGAATAGCTAACGATCTGAAATTTCATACAATTATAGGTATTGGTCCTAAACCACCCAGAACCTTAAGTGACATTGTAAAATGTTAACCCCCACCAAAAAAACAAAATTAAAAATGGCGGATAAAAAAGATGGATTTAAAAAGACACGTATTCATAAAACTGCTATAGCTCAAAAACGGCAAGAGCTAGCAAAGATTTGAAGACAATCTTTTCATGGTCAAGAATTAAATTTTCTACAAAACCACTTGGGCGTTTTCAGAAAATTAGACCCCTTCATCCCCAAAAAGGCCCTACTTTTAAAATTTGTAAATGTCTTTAGATTGTTATCAGGTTAATTAATTACAGCAAAATGGTGTTTCGAGTTGGGACTTTTCCCCTTGGACCCACATTGAGACGTCTACAGATTGCCGTTGAACAGCTACACAGGAATTGCCACTTAAAAAAACTCTTCCACTACAAATGCATGGTGCTCAGCTGCCCACAGCTCCATGGCTAAAATGTCCCCACGTCCGCTTTGGATCACCCCTATCCCCAACACCCTCCGCCACTCACTCGCTCCGGGCGGCAAAGAAAATCGTCAGATAATTTTGCCACTCCCTGTATGAGGACACAACTTAGATGTACCAACGCATAGTATAATAGTACATACACTATACATACACTATAATGAAAACATAATATTCACATACCTTCGGTTTTGAGACTCCTAATCTGCGTTTCTAGTGGGCGGAATGCATTTAGGGGGAGGTTCTCCAGGTAGTTTCTGCTGAGATCTAACAATCGGAGCTTCTTTAATGGTTTGAATGATTCGACAGCAACAAAAGATATCCAGTTGCCGTAAATGTGGAGTTCTGCTAAATTCAGCAAATGTTTGAGTGTCCCTTTTGATATTCTTGTGATTTGGTTATACGATAAATCCAACACTTGCAATGACCTAAGATCACTCGGGAAGTCTTCAAGATCTCTTAATCGGTTATGGCTCAAGTTAAACAGCCTTAAATGACTCAAACCCTGCAGTCTCTCTTGTGGTATGAGCTCTAGCTCGTTTATTCCTAGGTCAAGGGTCAGTAGATTCGGTAGAGACTTGAATGCTCCCGGAGAAACCCTAGATATCCGGTTTTTCCTAAGGTATAGATGAAGTAAAGAAGGAAATGATTCAAAGTCCTTACTGGTAACTATAGTAAGGTTGGTACCACTTATGTGAATCTCTTCTAGCGATGGGTAAAGACGCGCGGAAGACAGATCGTGGACTTGTGTTAAAGGATTCTGCGTCAGGTTCAGCCAAGCTAATGCAGGTAGGTTTTGCTCCGAGAGAGCAGTTGTAGGAATCTGTCTAAATTTGTTTTGAGATAGGTCTAATCTTCTTACTGTTGAACCAAAATGTAAAAAATTTGCAGGTAATGCTGAAAGACTGTTTTTGCTCAGATCCATAGACACAAGATAACTCCAATTGGCTGCTGCGAAGCCAGTGAGCGATCCTATACGATTTTCTTGAAACTGGATTTCTCTAATTTTAGTTAGTCCAGTAAGTTTAGAGACGTCAACTGTTGATAGCTCATTGCTTGATATAACCAGGATTTCAAGAGCATTGCTTCCGTTTATCGCTACATATGGAACCTCACTGAAAACGTTTTCGTTTAAACGTAATTCTCTTAGGTATTTTAGAGACGTAAAAATATTATCTGGAAGGTTTTGCAAGTGGTTACCTGCCAAAGATATACGCACTAGATCTTTGTTAAAGTCAAATACATCCCATGGCAAGTTAAAGATCGAGTTAGTGTCTAAAGATAAATACTGCAAAAGAGGTAGCCCTCTCAACGTGTTAACGTTAATGTCTGATAGGTTGTTTCCAGAAACTTTAAAAACCTTTAATCCTGGTATGTCTAAAAACCTTAAAGAGTTAGCATCCAATCGGTTGTTCTCTAAGTTTAGTTCGTTTAAGTTATTTAATCCTCTAAACGCACCCTTGTCAACTTTTGAAACTGAACAATTTTTTAGGTTTAATACTCTAATTGGCAATCCCTCTTGGAAAATATGTTCGTGTAGAACAATTATCTCATTTTCAGACAGGTCCAGGATCCTAAGTTTTTTTAATGATGTCAAGGCTCTAGCTTCGATATGTCTTATCCCGTTGTTTGACAAATATAATTCTTCGAGCTCATGAAGATCCCAAAATATTTTAACGGATATATATTTCAATTTATTAAGACTTAAATCCAAAAATAACAGTGCTTGCATGGGTGCAAATGTGCCGTCTTCTATTTGCGATATGCTATTGTTAGTTAAATAGACGCGCTGGATAAGCAATAAGTCTCTGAACAAAGTTCGGTCTAGCTTAGTTAGCTTATTGTGTCCTAACCACATAATCTGCACACTCGACTGTCCTTGCAGAGAGTCGTTGTGAAGCCAAGTCAATCCGTTTGAATCAAGTTGAATAGAAACCAACGACGGTGTTTCATGAAGAAATACGTCTCCTAGAGTAGTGAGCAAATTTCCCTGTAAATTTACATGCTGAAGACTTTGCAAGCTGTGAAAAGCACCTGCTTCTATCCTCGTTATCAGATTATTGTGCAGATGAAGCTCTAACAGATTTGGCAGTGGTTCGAAAACACCGCGCTCAATCTTAGCAATCCGATTATTCTGGAGACGAAGCTCTTTAAGCTCATTCACCTTCTGAAATGTGCCTGGTTCCAAACTGTGGATCCAATTACTATCAAGGCTTAGCGAGAATAGCTGAGTACTTCCGTTTAACAGATTACGGGGAAAGTATTCAATGAAATTATCGCTTAAGAACAGTTGGGTTAGGGACGTCAAAGATGTCAAAGCCTCTTCGTCTATCCTCCTAATTGCATTTTGTTGAAGATATATTACTGTCAACATTATGGAGTTTGTAAACGCATCTTTCGGTATTTCTAAAATATTATTTTCTGATAGGAAAATTTCTCTTAGATCCGGGAGGTTTTCAAATACCCCGTTAATATAGTGAATATGATTGTGGCTTAAATCTATAGTCTTAAGTCTTTTGTTTGTTTTGAAAGTAGAAGCATCAAGAAACACCACTCGATTGTGACTCAGATCAATTGACTCGAGGCTCTGTAAAGAAACAAAAGCTTCCTTGTCAATACTTTCTATACCATTGTAATAAAGCGACAGTGTCTTTAATGACGGTAAAGGACGAAATGCGTCGCTGTTAATGGCTTCAAAGTTATTTGAGCTCAGATCCAGGAAAGTCAACCCTTGTAGTTTTGAATAACCGTCATCGGGAATAGACCCAATTTCATTCCAAGCTAACCTGAGAGTTCTTAGATGCTCCAGTCTCCTAAGTGAAGCCATTGGGAAAAAATTTAATTTATTCTCTGATAGATCCAATTCTGTTAGTGTCGCTTCGAGCCCTGCAAAGGCGTACTCAGAAGTTCTCTGTAACATATTTCCCTTCATGTTTAACTTCGTAAGATGGAGACCGTAAAAGCTATAGCTTGGCAAATCGGTTATCTCGTTAGATTCCAAGTCCAAACTTCTCAGCACCGTAAGTCCAGTAAGGGATTTTTGAGGAATCTGCTCCAACTTTCCCGCTATTATGCTTAACGAATCCAAGCTTACTTTAATAGTAGAGAAGGCATCCTCTTGCAGCACTTTCAGGCTGCTCTGGGATATCTGTAGTTGGTTTATTCGAGTAAAACTGGGGAAGAAGTCCCCCGACAACACTGTCACCGATTTATCAAGGTCATAGATGCTGAGGGATTGAATCGGTGATGTGATGAGCTCGAGTATGCGTTGGACAGTTTCCTTGTTTGGTCCTGGGCATTCCAGGAAGATGCCATTCTCGAAGTTGTAGCACGGGCAGCTGGGATTGACCGAAAGCTTGGGACAGGTCGGGTTCGGTTCCGACCAAACTCCGAGAATGACCAATAGCAGAAGCCACGGCCGTAGGGTCACACAGGCATTGAACAGTTTCATCTCACCACCATCATGAAGCTGGAGCTGACTCAAGCCACTGATCTGAAACAGTAAACGAATTACGATATATGGTTTGTAAAATATTCCAATTATCTGTATGGATCTTTCATGTATGTGTGAATATATTGAATAGTCTTAAAAGGCATATTAATTTATCATATCCGTATATATCACGAACATGGAAAAAGCCCTACGGGAGTGCAGTTTTATCATTCGCAGCATAAACCAGGGACAAAGCAGTAGTACGCGGAACCTTTTCATTTCTTCCCCATGCATACTCAGCAATGTTGTGTGTCGTATGATAGTTTACCCCACCTCGTTTTCCTCTAAATATCTTCCTAAAATGGTTTTTCAGTTTATGGTCATTGTTATTAATATTTCACAGTTTTAACAAGAATGGCCAGCAATTTATTTGAATTAAAGAAAACTTGATTTTCATTGGCTTTGAATTTAGCTTTCAGTGTCGAAATAATTCTTCGAACATTTCAAGGTCGTTTGTTACCATCTCAACTTTTTCTACTTTGCTGTGTAGGTATGAAAGACTATGGTATGGTCAGCATATATCAAGTTAATAGAGAGACGCTGAAGGAAAAAAATTATGGGGCTCAAAACCCCTCCTTGAGGGCTGCCAGTTTGCAAATCAAGCACATCACTCAAAACACTATTAACTTCCATAGCCTGCTTTCTTCCTTTACAAAAATATTGCGACCACTCCAAAGCTCTACTATAATAAAGCGAACACTACTACTATACCACTACTACTCTACTACTGTACTGTATACTACTGTGTACTATGGCGATTGAAAGCTCTACTCTATGCCATATTTTCTAAATTTTGAAAACAGTACATTATGATCCAAAACATAGAATGCTTTTTGAAAATCCAATTACACAGACAATGTATATATACGTTTGTCAATGGCATCAGTGACAGTACTGACATGTCTTTCTAAAGCAAGATCTTTGCCTTTACCTGGCAAAAACCCCATATTGATTTTGAGAGAAAATAGATCTGTTAAAAATTTTCCAACAGCCTTTTCCAAAGTCCAAAGTCCCAAAAACTTGAGCTACGGTACTTATAACGGATATAGGCATTTATGACGAAATTTTAGATAAACTTCCAGACTTATGAATCGGTACTACCGATGCTATCTTAAACCTGCCTGGGTAGACACCTTGATACTAAGAAATTATAGTAATTTTACATAACAATGGGGTGAATAAGTCTAAGTTATCCTCAATTATAAAAATATTAATACCATCTATTCCAGCACTAGCCTTATTTTTTTAAGATTTAACTATATCTACAATGTCTGAGTCTGACTCAATAAATACAAAATCTTGAATAAAAATATCATCAGTAATATAATCTTCTACAAACATATCACAGCCAAAGTTCTCATGCTTTAATTCAGGTACAATTTGTGTAAATATGCATACAATTTATTTGTAATAACTTTCTCATTACCAGCACATTCAATGAGGACATCATCTTATCCATCTCAAAAGTAGATGAATTACTTTTAATAATTCTAATTATCTTTTAATAGCACTTCAATAAACCATTGAATCCCCATCAGACTAGAGTAGCAATTTGTCTTAGTTAATCTAGTTTTTCTCGTCACCAGCACGAAAATGTTTTTATATTGCATTTTCAACCGAACATTATTTTTATCTTTTGAAAGCATATTATTAAGTTTATTTTTATTATTTATTAAGTCATGAGTTCATTGTTCATCCACTCATTTTTTTTGTGTTCAGTTTTTTTAATGACAAGAACATTTTTGAAAAATATAATACAAATTTTCTACACCTTTATTCACATTAGCTTCATCATGTGTGTGTGTACAATATTGATATGTATGACAATTCAAATACACCTTGTATTTAAGACAGTACACTAGTATACTGATCGGTATTTTAGGAATATTGCTGTATAAAATCATAGATAGAAAAGAATAAGATATTGTGTTCTAAGTTGGCCCTTCATTAGAGGACTTAGTAAGGGTCGTAAGAGGATTCAGTGTCTGACAGAATTATATAGCCAGAAGTTTTCCGCTTCCAGTTAAGTATTGAGAGACGATGTTGATACGAAGAATTTTACTTTGTTGTTATTTTAATGGGACATTACCATCATAATAAGTTTTCTCTTAATTGTAATTGCTTATTGGGAAAAAGTAGGAAAAGTTATTGATACAGTACAGTTGTAAATATGTGAACAACTTTAAAATTATTCTACATAATTACTAAAATAATATTCGGTAACGTTTGAACCGCGCTTTTAGTGACATTCTTTCCAGGTGTATAATTTATTATTGTACATGAACTGTGGCCAATTAAAAATCTGTTTACAACTGCAAGTAGTGTAATTATTTATAGTGTTCGTAGTATACAGACGTTGAGCCCGTACTAGGCTCTCTGGGCAATGGGAAGTAGGGGGATATATTAGGGGTAGAGAGAGGAGAATTGAGATGTTTGGTTTCAAATTACAGGATGGTTTTTTTACAAATGTATTACAAATAATTTAATAAAATATAAAGGTATAATAATTATACAGTGTTATTGAGCGAAACTCTTATACTACACTCCTGGTTTTTATTCACAAATACTTCTCCTGAACGGCTGAAACGATCCGCATGAAATTTTGCAAGGTCATAGTAACCGATTATGGGTCAGGTTAGGTTAGGTTATTTATAGGTATAAATCTGCAATTGTAGGAAGACTTAAGGAAAATTTGTTTAACACGAGATTTGTGGATTCATTGGTCGCCATAGTGGTTTTGCAAAATAAGAACAAAATCGTAAACCAAAGAGTCGTAATATATGCCTAAAACTACATCTATACAAGCCAATTACGAATCCATAATAAAAGAAAAGTACAATTGGGTCAATACCGTTGAGCATACAAGTAAAAAACTAATTGGACCTTTTGGGAATTCATAGCAAAAGATTTTAAATTAAATGCTGTGAACACTTTAACTTCATTTATTTAAGAATAATTCTGTCTATGCGTTTTAAGCAAATTCCCTAGATTTATGTACGTACATAGGCGGACCTAAAAATCAAGAAATTTGTACATGTTAAAATAGCAGGCCTAAACTTAGCTATTTTACTGTATTTTTATGTCAAACTACAATTGACGGATAACCAGCAACACAAAGGTTTTTTGAAACAGTAATTTTAAGTTAGTTTTTTCACACACAGTGTTTATAACACAAAGTATACACCTAACCTAACTTAACCTAAAATATGATGAGTTATCAAAATAATTGTATTACATTGGCTGTGCTATGATACAAAGAGAATGGTGTCAACAGACGTATAAAATTACATGACAAGATGCATATGTTAGGTTGAGTAATAAACCGAAATAAAACACGTTTTAAATTACAGATAAGGGGTATATTGAGGGACCTTTCTCTTGATAAAATAGTAAAGTACGTTTAAAAAGTTTTTAAACTCAAAGTTATAATATTTTTGAAACAACCCACTACAATTACAATTTTTTGTTTGTTAACATATTATTTAAATTTAATTCCTAGATTTTCTCACACACTTTTATATAATAATTATTTTACGTGTTATAAGACGTTTCTTTTATTTACTTTCCGTAATAATTATCAAATATGGCGAGTTTTTATATTTTATTAGCGAATTTCCCTATAGGGAAGTAGCTATTACCGTAGGTGGCACGGTAAGACCTAGACCCGGGACCGATTTACTTTTTCATTTTGATGTCCCCTGAGGCCAAAAACACCATTTGTTCAAATTTTTATATATATTATATATATTATATATATATATATATACGTCCGTGAACGCGATAACTTGAGTAATTTTTGTCCGATTTTGATGAAATTTGGTTTAAAGGTGTAAAGCGGGATAAACTTGAATGAGTTCGCGAACCAGCACGATCGGATCATGGGAACGGGGCTTTACGGGGGGTTTTATGGGGTAAAAATTGGTTTTTCTCACTTTTGACCCTCAAAACACAAAATTTCCCGATTTATCTTTAGACCTTTTTAAAGAGCTTAAAAAAACAAATAATTTAGTATATAAAAGTATTTTTGTTCGATTATTAGTAACGGAGAAAATTAAAAAAATTGTAAATTTAAAATTCCCATGTTATTCTTATGGAGAATATTGTCAAATGTTGTAGTTTGCTTGTTTATGGATATATTTTGATCAAACTTGGCAAATTTATTTATTTTCTACTAAGCTATCAATATTTTACTCAAAAACACACTTTATTCGTTTCCTTGTAGCAGCAAACCTAGGTACTCGTTAAACCTAATGTTATTAAAATATATTTAACTGAAAATCAATTCAGACAAATGGAAATTCGCTTAGTCGGCAGGTTTGCTGCGGCGGGGGTATTTTATTTATTTTAACGGTCATAGCCAATTTGTACAAGTATTACCGCAGTTTAGTATAACAGATTACAAGCTATACATATACATTTTATTTAAATATAAATTGTCAAAAATTGCAATGAGTTGAGTGTATTTATGAACTTAAGCTACTCATGTGATTTTTAAAAACTGGTTGGGTACACCAGGCCAAACTAGGCAATCCAAAGCACCCCCCCCCCCTCCTGGCACTTCCAGGGCAAACGCCGCCCCACCCCATATGCGCGCTTAAGTTTGCCTTATTTAGGCATTTGTGGATGGTAGGTCGGCCCCTAAATGCGAATTTGAAGCTGCACCAAGTATTCCGAAGTTAGGCTGGATTAGGAAGGCAAAGTTCAAGCTACGAGCATAGATAAAAGGAGTATAGACTCCTTTAATCTATGCTACGAGGAACCGAACTGCCAGTCTGCTCCCCCTCCATGTACAACCAAAACACCATTTCAATAATGTTTAATTCTCGAAATTGCAGCCCCCAGTGCTTCAACTGTACCAAAACAGTCTGGGTGCAAAACAAACCCACAACTGGACCTGTTTAGCGTGATCATAATTTTAGATTTTTTACATGGACATCTGTGGAATAACCTAATAATCTTGCCACTATAAATCTTATACGAATTATAGATACAAACATCAA